AATTTCACTTCTAGCCAATAACAAAATTAGTAAGTGGCTGTAGTAAGTCAGATGGCAGTAAATCTAACAGTAATAAAATTAATAAAACAACAGTACTCGAGTTTCCATTAGGATTATTTTCGCTACTGGTTTGTTTGAGACAAATTACATGTAAGATTATAATGAAGAAAGTACTTTCATAAATTCTAACGGCAGTAAAAATGTTCCTCCTTTATCATAGTGCGCGGCCTTGTGCCACATGCAACCCTCTTGGAAGGGGGGGCTAGATACCTTTATCATAGTGCAATGAAAAATAATATACTCTTGAATGTCAGATTAGTTCTATCAGCTCTTTACGACTAAGACCCACCACGTTAAGCACATTATAGCAAATCACATTTCGTATTCCATTGGTAAGATGCAAGCTCCACGGGCAGCTTTTTTCCGTTGAACCGCTGCTCTGTAGAACCGACTCCCAAGAGGATACTTTCCCAATCACTAAAATCATTACCTGTTCAAGTTTAATGTTGACCAGTTATGGCTCGTTTCTTCCTGCGAGTTTACATCAAGTTTTAAGTCATTTACAAATCGGAGATACCAAAATTAAACAAGTACGAAATTTTAGATATCTGGGACGTGTTATAACAGAGGACGGAAAAGTGTGACACTGAAATCCGAAGGTGTCTTGAAATAGCCTAAGTTGCCTTCCAAAAGCTAAGCAAAGTATCAAGAAACAGAAGAAAAAAAACTTAGAAACAAAGAAAACAGTACTGATGTGATATCTGTCTTCCTATATGGCAGTGAATGCTGGACAATATCCTCAAAGTTGAAGAAGAGACTTGAAGCAATAGAAACGTAGTTTCATAAAAGGATGCTGAGACTGATGGAACGAATGTGTGAGCAACGACGACGTTTTATAGAAAATGGAAACAAAAAGAAAACTTATACTTAACAAGTCAAGAAGAAACAGTTGAGATTTCTTGAGCACATAATGAGGAAAGAGGACTTGCAAAATCTGATAATCACAGGTCAGATTGAAGCCAAGAGGGACAAGGGAAAACAACGCATAACACACTTTTTGAGCTTGAGTAAATGGATGGCAGAAATAACAAAAAGACAAAAAGTATTCATTAAAAGGTACCAGGGACAGGAAGTTGTGAAGATCCATGAAAAGGATACGGCACATAATGGAGAAGTTAAAGTCAACTTTACGACAAATATTACAACCAACTTATCTGCGTACCGTTGAATAGAGTAGCTATCGAATTCATTTTCTATAATGAATAACATTGAATATTTGAGAATAGATTCAAATGAATCTAAAATTACGTCTTTAATCTTGGGCATTCAGATAGGATGGTAGACATTTGCAATAGAAATTAGACTATTCAATTAAACTACTTTTTTAAAAATTCTTAATGTGTTGGGAAGAGTTTTAACGGAAGACGTAAAATATGACTCCGAAATCTGAAGGTGCAGTGGAATTGAAAAAGATGCCTTCCAAAACCTAAACAAAGTATTAAGAAACAGGAAAATTTCATTAGAAACAAAGAAAAGGGTACTCAGCCGCTATATAATATAATCCGTTCTACATGAAAGGGAATTCTAGACAATTTCCTCACAAATTAAGAAAAAACAGGAAGCAACAAAGAAGGATGCTGAGAACACCATGAATGGAGCATATAAGCAACGATAAAGTTTTAAGGAAAATAGATATAAAAAGGACACCTATACGGAGAACGAAAGACAGTTGAACTTTCTGAATCACGTGAGGAAAGAAGGCTTGGTTAATTTGATACTCACAGAATATAATGAATGCAGAGAGAGCCGAGGGAAACTGAGAAACATGCCTAAGAAGCTTGTGTAAGCAGTGATTTTGAAGGATAGTAAATGCACAAACATTTCTAAGAGCTACAAAGGATAGAAAGTTATAGTGAGCTATAATCGCCGACGTCTTAAAGAGAAATTGCTCATAAAAGAAGAATCCAACAGATAGAGAGGCTAAGGATTGAACACACCAGTACGAGTTTAATGCTTGCATTAATGGTTAAAAATAATGATGTCTAAAATATCTTCACAGTTTCTAACCGAAATAAGAAAAAATTAAATTTGTAAAGGTAAGAATTAAAGATTGTCAAAAGTTTTGGGGAAAATGGAAACTGTACACTTTGATCTGAAATTAGTTACCACAGAAGCCATATCCTTTCCAATATATCAGATTGAATTAAAACTCCGTCATTTTCATTCCACTGTTGATGTACGATTATCGTTGAGGAAAGTGAAATCAGTGAGCCGAGTTCAAATTCCCGTCTAATCTGTTGCGTTCACTTTAAAATCTTCTACGTTTGGAAAAGACATGAATCAGTTTCTTCTCCCCACCAGATATGGGTTAAATAGCAAGTTAAGTTTAGGAACTCTAATAAAAGATGTATTCTAAATTCAAAAGCATTATGAAGGCAATTCTACTAACTTTCCCATTAAATCATAGCAGCTCACAGGTAATAAAGGAACGGATTCTGTGAAGAGGCATGAGCACATACCCTGAAGGAATATGGTGTTTTTTAATTCACCATGTAAGACGCACCATAGAAAATAAACTTATTCTTAAAACATTGAATTAATTAGTTGTAAAAATGTAGTTACTTTATATATATGTTTATATTAGCGCTAGTGCATGTTACCCCCAAATCTATTGTCTATATACATGGTGAGGCAAAAGTCAAGCATCATAGGGGTTAATTAATTAATTATCAAACACGCCTTCAATGCTATTGAGGGTCTTCCTGGATTATATGTATAATGTACCATTAGCCAAAAGAATGAACATGTTCATTTCAACAGGGGGGAAATGGAAACTGTCTACCGAGTTCACCAGACCATGGATTTTTTTATGTGGATCCATTTGAAATTATTTGTTTATCAGACATGTTCAAGAAATATTGAGAAACTTAGAGAAAGAATTAAACATGAAGGCGGTAAAATGACAGAGGAAACTCTTCGAAGTGTTAATGAATCAGGTAGGTACAGAATTAAAATGGATTTTGAAAAAGAAGGAGCACATTCTGAACAGCACATGTAACAATTAAAGAACCAGTAAATAAAATGTTTATGTATAATTATACTTTTAATAAATTACCACTATAGGTCGCGACCTTTTCTCACCCTATATATTAAAATTTTAAATACATGCTTCTTTTTAGAGTATTTTTACTAATATCTCCTGGTGAACAGTAATTGCGTGGTGCTGAGCTAAAAAGCGCAAGTGCTCAAGAACTGGATCCTTGTTCCAACTTTTTTTGGATATTTGAAAAGATTTCAAGAAAAAACGATTATTCTAAAATATGCTGATGCATAACGAAATGCATATTTTATCTTTATATAACTTTTAACACATCATGTTCCAAATCATGGTAATAAATTCTTGCAGTCAATATATCGTCTTACATCGTTAAAATGCTGATGCTTTCATAACAATTCAGTAATTGCTGATTCCTTGTCGATTACAGGGGTAAGTCAGTAATCCTTCAATTGACAATACGCACTTTACGTCGTTGTCACTTACTGATAAGTTAGTCTAAGCAGAAACAAAATAAGCTTTATTTAGTCTGACTTGAAAATAACAAGCAGATTCAAAACTGATTAAAGAGAAATCTATCGGTGCTGAAAGATTCGGGGATAAAAATTTGAAAAGAACGTGAAATCAATTCCATACCATTTAATGATCTACTGAAAACATAATACATAAAATTGCAGGATTAAAAATGTGACAAGCAACATTACAATACCATTCCCTAATATGAGATGCATGGTTAAGATACCATTTCCTAATATGAGATGCATAGTTAGGATACCATTCCCTAATATGAAATGCATGATTAGGATATCATTCCCTAATATGAAATGCATGGTTAGGATACCATTTCCTAATATGAGATGCATAGTTAAGATACCATTTCCTAATATGAAATGCATGATTAGGATACCATTCCTTAATATGAAATGCATGGTTAGGATACCATTTCCTAATATGAAATGCATGATTAGGATACCATTCCCTAATATGAAATGCATGATTAGGATACCATTTCCTAATATGACATGCATGGTTAAGATACCATTCCCTAATATGAAAATGAATGGTTAGTGTTGAAACTTGACTAATGCATGGAATAATAATGCAACACAAAATGTACTTAGAACAAAATGTATTGAAACAAGAAAGTGTACACAATATTTACATATAGTCTTTTGTATATTCCTGGTAAGACCGTTCCTGGAGAATGTGTTGACTGAGTCGCAGTCGGGCAGAGTCTCTGGTTGAATCTCTTGATTCCTTCCTCTCTTCCCGGTACCAACCATATTTATATGGTCGGTACTCCACTATGCAAATTAGGTGCATCCTACCACAACAGTTAGGATACCATTTCTTAATATGAAATGCATGGTTAGGATACCATTTCCTAATATGAGATGCATGGTTAGGATACCATTTCCTAATATGAAATGCATGTTTAGGATACTTTTTCCTTAATATGAGATGCGTGGTTAGGATACCATTCCCTAATATGAGATGCATGGTTAGGATACCATTCCCTAATATGAGATGCATGGTTAGCATAACATTTCCTAATATGATTAGCAAGGCTAGAATACCATTCCCTAATATGTGAAGCAATGTTAGATTACCATTCCTAAATATGAGACAAGGTTAGAATACCACTCTCTAATATGAAAAGCAAAATCGGACTGTTTGATTGAATCATTCATTTTCTACTGCTTATCAACCTTTTGCAGGTTCTTTAAAGCAAGAAAATATATTTAAATTGTAAGATTTGGGTGGGGGGCAATAATAAAAATTTAGAGATACAAGTTTTACTAATTAACACACAGCTGAAGAGAGAATAGATGTATTGATAATTTTCACACGGTATTCGAATATAATAAACCCAACTGGAATTGGAACTCAACTCTCTGATTAACAATTCCGAGCCATTATCCATTACACTACCTACACATTCAAGCTGACAGAACCTGGTATTCCCAAGTGGTCATCCATCTAGCTACTGAGCAGGTTCTACTCTGCTTAACTTCAGTGATCGTGTGAGAGCTGGTGTTTCAACGTGATGTGGCCGTAAGATAAGGAAGGTTAGAATACCATTCCCTAATTTAAGAAGCTCAAGAGAAACTGAGAAAATGTTTCTGAGAAGAAAGTAAAATAAAAATACCAGGATTCAAGGAGACAGAAGATGGCCACTGACGTTGTAAATTGCTGAGGATCATAATTGACAAGAAAGCAAGAAGCCATAAGTGAGTTACCCAGGTGAGAAGTGCGAACTTCTAGCCTGGCGGACTCTCTTCTATATCCAAAGAAACTATTAGTATTGAACTTATGGTTAGAGCTAGCAATTTCAGCAATAAAATGATGAGACCTATCAGTCAATCTAGTACTGCGCTTAAAATTCGTGAAGAGAAAAAGAGAAAAACTTATCAGAACAATTGCCATGAAAATATTTATAGAAAAGGCACACGAACGGCTATTTTAGGGCAGTGGAGAAAGTGACAGAAGCCGGGATGCCAGGTCCGGATCGATAATGTTGCATATTCTTCTTTGGATTTTGTCATGAATCTTTTGATACAAAGCAGAAGCACTAGACAAGATATGGCACCAGTATTCAATGCAGGGACGAATGTTAGACTTACGAATGTGCAAAACAGATTCCGGCGAGAAAAATTGTCTCAGACGATAAAGTGAACCAACTTTCCTACATCATCTGAAAATCAAGCTAACAAGCATGCTAATTGGTTTTTGTATTTTGTTTGTTTTTTTGTTTTGTTTTGTTTTTGTTTTTTTTGTGTCTTTTGGGGGGGAGGGGGTGACACTATAATTCCATTCTTAGTTATAATAGTAATCTCTATAAAAGACAGGATATGTGTGTGTGTGTGTGTGTGTGTGTGTGTGTGTGTGTGTGTGTGTGTGTGTGTGTAACGAACGCACGGCCGCAATTTTCGACGGATTTGCACCAAAATTTACATGCACATGCTCCAAGTTATCGGGAAAGGCCAAGACCGACATTGCATTTCCCAACTCCCATCGATAGTGGAAATAATTGATTTTTTCATGCTTCTACGGCAGTTTACATGTAGTTTGCGGCCATTTTCTACTGGCCAGAGTGAGAGCCTATAGCTGGCTGCTACGAATAGGCAGGAAGATTCTATTGGCCAGCGTGAGAGCCAACAGCTAACTGACACGAATGTTAACTAGCATGTTAGCATGCAAAAAAATCGATAGCTGCATTCGTCACAAGTGGGAAAAATTTAAATCTGCATGGCACTTTACTCCAATTGGCTCATTCGCTTGCTTAAACTCAACGTTGATTCTGATTCCGCAGAACTGGGTTGGGTGTGAAAAAGTATTTGTTGTTAACATTCTTTTTTTCATTTGTTTTTTCCAGTTACAAGTCCTTTTTTAAAGCTGATCGTTTTGTGTTCATTTTGTTTAGTTCTTTTTTCGTAACAGATTTAATGTTTAGTATAAAAAGCTTAGAAAAAATTCGCAGTGTGAGATAGGCAAGAAGTAAGGCATGTAGCAACATCAGCATGGCAAATGGCACTCCTTTAAAGGCAAGGAAGGGCAAAAATATTTTAAGTCAAGTGATAGCGATTGCTGTATGAGTCGGACGATTTTTGAATCAAGCACGGGCAACGCCGGGCCATGCTGCCAGTAAATAATATAATGCTTGTACAATAAAAAAAAATTATGATATAAATTTTAACACACTAATGCCCATCTTAAAATCAAGTGTTAATTATACAAATTAGGATAAAAATCTCATATAAATTATCAATTTCTAAAAATACGACTTTAATTATACACTTACATAAAAATTCTTTTTTTAATTATACGTTTCTAAAAATCCATTATTTATCATAGATTTCTAAAAAAAAATCATAGGTTTCTAAAACATCCGACTTTCAATGTACGTTTACATAGAAATCCCTTATGTATTACAGGTTTCTAAAAAATCCCTTATGCATTATATATTTCTAAAAATCCTTTATGAATTATAAGTTCCTAAAAATTAGACTTTAATTGTACATTTACATAGAAATCCCTTATTCATAACAGATTTCTAAAAATCCTTTATGAAATAAATCTAACTTTAATTATATCTTTATATAGAAATCCCTTATTAATTATAGGTTTCTAAAAAATACCTTATTAATTGTAGGTTTCTAAAAATCCCATTATGAATTATAACTTTCTAAAAATTCCTCATTAATAATAGGTTTCTAAAAATTTCTTATGAATTTTAGGTTTTAAAAATGCCATATTCATTACCTATTTCTAAAAAAAATTGATTTACAGTTCTGTTGTGGAGTGATTTCACAGTGGAGGCTTGTATTTGTACTAAATCGGTACTAAAATAGGTTCGACGTACAAAACGTTAGGAACTTGATATAATAGGTAATGACGCTGAGTAATCTAGTTGCGGTCGCTGATAGTTTAGTATCCGACTAACTGTCGTCCGACATCGACTGACTGACCGGCTCAGTGAGTCGGTCACATTGTACATAATTTTAACAGCAGGACCGTTTTTATATTAATTATGAGTCGAAGAAAAACTTCAGATATTGCCTTAAAAATCAGTTTTATATCGGAAAGAAACATTTGAAATTTTGGATGACATTATGAGGAAAGAAGGATTGTGAAATTTGACACGCACAAGACATATAGAAGGCACGCGACGCAGAGGAGAAACAATGAATATCTACCGAGCTTTTGTAAATGGATAGCAGAAAGGGTATAGGAGGTATAGTAAATTTGACAAGTATTGCTTGGTCCTGGGTATGACGATAAACTACATCCGCGTCCAGGGTAAGACGATAAACTACGTCCAACAGCAAGGCCTCTGATCAGGAGGTGTTGAGGGGCGTGGAACCACTTCTTAATTGCTAGTGTTCTCAGGTCCATCCTGACCCGGGGTGGTAGCACCTGTTAGGGTCCCAGCTATGGGAAAATAGTTAACACCCAAACTTGTGTAAAAATAGGTTTTAATACCAGAAATACTTTGTAATAAAAAAAAATTATTATCAGCAATAATTTTTGAAGGAAAAATTATTATCAGCAATACTTTTAAAAAAATACCAGCAATACAAACAGTTATACATTCTTTGAAAAAAATATGACCAGCTATAGATTTCTTCAAGAGAAAATATTCCCAGAAATAGATTTTTGAAGAAAAACATATTACCGGCAATAAAAATTTTGTCGGCATTAAATGACCCATTGAGGTTGATATGCCGTAAAACAAAAACCAAACCAAACAAGTATTGCTAAGAGCTATTAAGCTATGAACGATGGAATCATGATTTCCGACGCCCTGAAATGATACGGAACATAGAATAAGAAAAAAAGTCGACAATATCTATAAATTAATATACCAATTTCAAGCTGTCAAAGAATTTCTTGGAAGCTCGTCTTGATTTTATGAAGCAACAATTCAACGGTTGCGGAAGGGGAACAAAGCTAATGAACCCGAAACATTAATTCAAATTTTTACCCCAAAGTAATAAGTAAAGTAAGAGTATTTAGGTAATTTACTTCAATGCTGTCTCTTTATAATGGTTTATAATAGTTATAAAGCCTGGCATTTAAACAAAGATTGCGACGAATATGTGTTAACCAGAATTTGAAAAAAAAAAAAAAAGAGAGGAAGAAACTTAAATAAAGAGAGAGATGGAGAGAGATAGAAACTAAAAAAATGAAAAAAATAGAGAGAAAAAGAAAAACTGAAAAATATAGAGAGAGAGTAAGAGAGAGACAGAGAAACTGAAAAAATTCAGTAAGAAACTATTTCAAAACTCGCAATTAAATATGATTTATCAGTTACTGTGCGCCATCTGTCGCCATTTCTGTCACCATTTGCAGGCATTGAGCTCTTTGTTGCAAATGTCAATTGGCGGTATGGTGCCCCTCTGCCAAGTTAAGTTATCGTTTATCCTATTTTATAAAAAGAAAAACTAAGAGTCACTTATGTTGCAATATTTGGGCGGGAGCTACCCAGTGTTCATTTTACAGTCTTGATAGAGCTCAAAATCATCTCCAAGTCCTTGTTGGAGATAAAAATTATTTTCCACCCTCCAACCTTTCTCTCACAGCGGAGATGTGGCGAGTCTCTCACTGCTCTATCGCAACTACCATAGAAAGTGCTCGGACGGACTACATTCCTTGGTTTCGCTAGGTCAGATCTTCACGGCTAGGACCCGCCATGCCGCTTACCTAATAAAAAACCACCTACAGTCCCTCCAGATTTCGTCGACAAGAAGTAAATCTACTCAAACAGCATCTTCCCGCTAATCTCTGTCCAATGGAACAGACGCCCAAGAGGGTGTTTCCCCGATTACTACAATCTTGGCCTGTTCAAGTCTATAATTAACTTCCCATTCCCCTCCTATCCATAGAAACTATTCCTTAACGTAACCCTCTACCTCGAGTGGCCCCGAGCCTTGTACAGAGTGAACCTTACTATATATATATATATATATATATATTGGCTCCTGAAAAATTAATTTCAGTTGAGCACTATAGGGAGGAGGTGTGGGTTGGTAAACAGTGACTATTATAACTATATAGCGAGACTCTTCGCAAATGCGAATTGAGTCACTCTCGGTCACTGGGCGTGTTTCTAAAAATAAATACGCTAAAATCCACCTTCATCCCTACCGTGCGCCGACGGCTTAATGGTTAGAATCTCCGACTGACAGTCGAGTTTCGATCCTAGCTAGTCTAGCCACACTGATGAGCTGCGAAACAGTCTGTCTGTGGATGACTATATATATATATATATATATATATAATAATCAAGGGAGTTGTAGTCTGGGTAGTTAGGTGGCCAGATGTAAGGGGTGATGTGGTCGCATAAATTGTCTGAACGCTATGACAGGGATTTCCTGTATGTGTGGCAACGGTGCAGAGTCTCGTTGCCAGAAATAGGGTCTTCCAGCAGCCACTCTCTTGGCTCAGGGCAGCACTACCTCCTCAAGGCATTTGATTTAGGCCTCCGTATTGAGTCTGTGACTCTGTGGGAAGATGAACGGAGGTATAACATCGCCATCACTAGTAATCACTTCAAAC